GATTTTTTTTATATTAATTTCGTTGGTAACCCAAAGTTTGACACTAGCGTTGAACACCTTGATAACAAGCAGTAGTGACATCAGTTCTCACTTGGAAATATAGATAGCAATATGTTTCCAAGTGAAAATATGCGTTAGGCGGCATTGCTGCAACAATAAAAAAATCATCAGTATCACAAAAAAATATGAAATAGAGGTAGGCCAACCGTTGCGTTGCCTTTTAGAAAACATTGTAACTAAGAAGGATCGCACATACATTATTTCTAACTTTTATTACCTGATGGTAAACCAAGCTAACTTTTATTATTATTACTGTAACATGGGACACCTAAAGATCGTATGACGCACAGGTGAACCATTAACATAAAATATATTTTTTTTAACTTCAACCGTCTGCAAAAGGAGGGAAACTGGTTTCTTCTGATAATCTCATCCAATCTCAACCCATACTATTTGTCATTGAAAAAGACGAACGCAATTCGCGGTATCTCTATATATAGTTGTAAAATATCGTTTATTTTTCAGAATTTTTGTATTTCATAAACAGAACCGTTGGGAGAATATAAACAGAAGTGGCCCGACTTTTAATAGACACATTTAAATTGATGTCGTTGGGGACAACATAGAGTAAAAAATTGTTCATAGACACCAGGATTTTTAGTTGTTTGTTTTTGGTTGGGATAAAATTTTATATATTCAAAGAAAAATGAAGAGTTTGTTAATTTGTGTCTTTTTTGGACTGTGTGCTTTGACTGCTGCTATACGTAAGTATTGTTTAATTTATTTATATTTATTATTTTTATACATCTATTTTAAAAATTTTCTTTCCTAAGTCTTGAAGTTTTTCTACTATTTACATTGAAATTCAAGTTATCCTTCCAGTTATGAAAAAATCTCTAATTGGGAGTTCATCATAATATTTTTAAAATAAATTTTAACATGTTTCTGAAAGTTGTGTTTAAAAAGCACTTTTTCATACCAAATATTTTCTAAATTGGTATAAATTTTTAAAACAATTAAAAAAATATTAATCCTTAATCCAAAAATCAGTCTCATTTTTGTATCAAAATAAATTAAACATAATATTAACATCGTTTGGGAGTACAAAGCAAAAAATGTTAACAATTAAGGATTTTGAGGAAACAGTAGAGCACCCGATTTAAAAAACATTTTGTTTCTGTTGATTTTGGCGAAAGCAAAAAAAAAATTTTTTTTTTATTTCAAAAATTCAAAAAAAAAAATTGTTTATTATTTTAACTTCTTTACGTTTGTATATTGAAAATGATTCAGATTTTAATTTTAAATTCTCATCAAACTTCTAAAGATCACTTATATTCTTCAAATAAATAATTTTTGGTAATATTATTTAGATATTACTATTTTTAAAATAAATTTATTTTTTTAAAAAATGTGCTTGAACAGCACTTTATTATATCAAATACTAATTAATTTTCTAAATTGGTATAAGTTTTTATAAAATTAAAAAAATATCAATCCTAAATCTATAAAGCAGTCTCATATTTTATCAAAATAAATTAATCAATCGCTATTAATAATGAAATTTTAATTTTTGTTAATATTGTTTAGATGTTTTTTTAGATATCCAAAATTATATAATTAAAAATTTATCTTAATATTTGTAAAATAATTTTAACACGTGTCTAAAAGTTAAGTTTAAACAGCTCTTTTCTCACAATGTATCAAAATGAACGATTTATCTCATAATTTATCAAGATAAATTTTATATTTTCCTTATTTATATTCACCAACTTTCCTAATTTGTTAATTATTATTTTTTTAAATTTATTTATATCGTTTCTTGGTTTGTTAATTAGTCAATATTTTAATTAGACGATTTTTTTAAATTCTAGATATCTAAATAAAATTTAGATCGCGATCATAGAATAATTTTTAAATGTGCAATGACGTATAAAATTATTTAACAATGATATAACAATTTTGGTCTATAATAGTCTAATTTGAACCAATCTTTAAATAAATTATTTCTATTTGATATTTTGTGCTAGATACACTTAAATAAGGACTTATAATTTTTTCATATTTCTAATAATTTTAAATTTAAAACAATTACTCCAACTCATGATTTTATTTTTAAAAAATCTGTATGTAAAACGCAATGAAAAATAACTCTCATTAAAAAGTATATATTTCGAAAATTTATTAATATTTTTAAATATCATTCAAATTTATTTTCATAAATAAAAAATTTCAACTGAATTTAAATATTTCTACATCTATTTTATTTAAAGTTCAATTTTTGGTTTAAAGTCAATTGTGGTTTTTTGTACAATTCAAAAATATTCTGGTGCTCTGGACTTTAAAATAAAATTAGCTTTTAAAAATTTGCAAGCCTTAATCTTTACTACCATTTTTTGATTTTATTTTGTTTCTTATCTAAATCTTTTTATATTTCAACACAAAGTATAATTCTAAAGTTTATTAATAATTTTGAATGTCATTATTTTTTTTAATAAAAGAATGTCTTAACTGAACTTTTAATATTTTTAGAATAATAATTATCCAACTATAAAATATAAAATTAAAAATATAAAAATATTATGGAGCTCTAAATTAGCTTTTAAAATTTTTCAACCTCCAATCCTTACTACCAATTGTTGATTTTATTTTTCTATCCTATCCAAATCTTTTTATATTTATTTTTTGTTTTTTTTTTATTTTTTTTATATTTTTTTAAAATTAATCTTTATTCTTTTCCTTTTTTATCTTTATTTTAGCGTTGGCACAGCAAGAACATTCCAACTCAGCTGTCGACAGCGCAATCAAAGACATTTTCCAACAAAATGATGGAAACCAAGAACAACTTGGTGGACAACAAATTGGATTAGAACAAGGCCAAGTTGGTGGCAAACAATTGCAACAAGATGCTGGCCTTGGCCTTGCTCCAAACCCTCAAGAAGATGCTGGTGGTATACAAGGTTTTGGCCAAAGTCAACCTAGTGGTGGTGATCAAGGTCTTCAATTAGGAGGTGGCCAAATCACCGAAGAAAGTGGCGGATTAGAAGGATCTCAAGTAGGTGGTGGATTAGAATCTCAACTTGGTGGTGGATTGGAATCTGGCAGTATTGGTGAAGACAAATCCCAGCAAGGTGGTGAGGGAGGATTAGGACAAATAGGCGGTGATGAAATTGGTGGAGAACACAAACTTATTGGAAAACCTGAACCTAAATTGTACGACCACCATAAACATTACGACCATGACAAGCATGACTATCACCATGATCATCACCATGATGATGATGATGATGATGATGACGATGATCACGATGATCATCATGACTACCACAAACATGAACACCATGATTATGATCACCATCACGACCATCACGATTATGATAAACATGATCATCATGATTACGATAAACATGATCACCATGATCACCATGATTACGACAAGCACGATCACCACGATTATGATAAACATGATCATCATGATCACCATTACGATCACGATGATCATCACGATGACGATCATCACAAGTATGATCATCACGACAAGTACGATCACCATGACAAACATGGTCACGATGATGATGATGAATATTAGGAAAGTTCCGTATCGGAAAAATTTATTGAAAGTTTGTTCAGCTCTCTCATGGTTGTTGTTAGTATGCAATATGTATAAGCAAAATTTGTGTTTTGCCAAAATTGAATAGTATTGATTTATTTATTGTTTGATTATTTTATAGATGTAAAAACAGTATTATTTGTGAAATAAAATATGTTATATAATAATTGTAGTTTTATTAACTTACCAAAGGAGAAGTTAATGTTTTTGTAAAAAATTCCAATTGGCTAATTATATGTTTTCTCGACGTTTCAAGCCATTCTGAATCGAATGAGACCAAATTTGTAAAAAATATGTAAAAAGTATGTGTGTGCGTGTGTCTGTGTGCCTGTGTGTGTGAACATATTTTTTGCCGTAAAACGACGTTTTCTCAAAAACGACTGAATAGATTAAAAAAAATTAAGATCCATTCTATGTTTTTTCGATGAGCACTAGTGTTTTTCAATTTTGTGCGACGATCAGCCGAGCCGTTTCTTTGTAAATCGCAGAAAAAAAAATTCGTACACGTTTCAGCCCGCAATTTTGAATCGATTTTAAAAATTTCAAAACTTTTTGAAATAAATTGGTTGGGAATCGTGCTGATTAGTTTCTGGTAAAGATCGGCCGGGCCGTTTTCTTGTGATGAAGTGTTAAAAATAAATTTTTTGACGATTTTTATGATTTTTTTTAGCAAGAGATATCATGGTCTTACGACAAATAGTTTAATGTTAAAAATTTATCAAAGTTTGAGAAAATATCATAGTCAAAATTTGTGTCAAAAGTTGCAATCAATTCATTAAAATGAATTGAATGATCAAGTGATGTGAAACTTAACACTAAAAAAATTCATCAGAATACTATTGTTTTTTGAATTTTTTTTTAGATTTCTGATCTGATACTAAATTAATATTTGATTATTTTAATATCGATTTAATATTAAGAAATACTGTTATTATTTTTCCCTATAAACAGAAATTGTATAATTTTAAACAAAGTCCATGATTCTTCTTATGTTACTAATACAAACACCTCCAAAAAAACTTGTACACAATAAAATTTGTCTAGCATCCCAATATTTCATTTATTCAGAAATAAAAAAAAAATCTAATTAAATATACTACTACGTTTTTGCGCGTTTCTATTTACTATTATATATATATAAATTTTCAAGATGCAGAATGCAAAAAATTCATGCAAATATTTAAATCAATCGGAAGATGCAACAGACTTTTTAATGCGTATACACAAATTAGTATTTATGAAGCAAATATTAATTTTAACAGTTCAAATAGAAAAAAATGGTATATAACATGCTGAAAATTAGTTCAAAATTATATTCAGTTGTACGAGATTCAAGAAATCATTGAACAAAATGAAAACTTTCACTATTTGTGTACTCTTCGCACTATGTGCTATGGCTGTGGCTAGACGTAAGTAAAATAATAATTAATATTCATTATAAGTAATTTAAGACATTTTTTTATAAAATATATTTCTTTTAATTATATTTTAAGACGCAAAATTTTATCAAGACCTTTTGTGACCTTCTGTGAAAATGCTTTCAACAAATTTTATACAAACAAATATGATTTACCTAAATTATTTTGCTTTAAAATTGAATTGTACCAATGCCTTGGAAAGTATTTTTGTTTATCTGAGGATCAACTGGAATAATTGGAATAATTAATTATTATTAAATTATTTATTTCTTAGCCAATCTTCCTATGCCAGAACCACCATGCCCAGAAGACAACAGCCACGAAAGTGGTAGCCAAGAACATCATAGTCATGAAAGTGGCAGTCATGAACATCATAGCCATGAAAGTGGCAGTCATGAACATCATAGTCATGAAAGTGGCAGTCATGAACACAGCATGGAAGTTCCTGATGTACCTTGTATGCCTGAACCTCCAGTAGTTGAGCCTCCATGCTTGCCAGAACCACCAGTACCAGACTGCTAAGTTATTCTGGAAACTTAATTGGACTGTTTGATGTCAACTTGGAGGATCTATATTTGCATGCTATATTTTTATTGTTTTTTTGTAATTTATTAATTTATTTAAAGGTTTTCATTACCTTATGTACTAACTCAGAATAAAATATCAAGAGATTATAAGTCTTTGATTTGTTCATAATCATTTTATCGATGATTATCCTGAAAAAAAAACTGATTGACGATGTTTAATCTAAAAAAACTGACAGTTATTTAATTGTTTTAAAAATTATTAGTCTCTGAAAATGTAGCTTTTTGGTACTCTTCAGCGCACTGCTTTAAAATATTGGATTTTGAAATTGAAAAAATTGAATATTGAAAAAATATAGAATATAAATTTCTATTTTCATATAAAACTTTTAATTAGAAAAATTTCTATGTGGAATCTTCACAAATTAATTTTTTTTTTATTTAGTTAACTTAAAATAAAACATATTATTAAGGCAATATTTTTTATGAACTTCAAATTGTGTAGAATAAATTATGAAAAAATCATCATTTTAGTTTATGTATAAAATATTTTAGCACTAGTTTTACACACTGTTCTACTTATATAGCAGAACATTAAAAAATAGAATTTCTGAGTAATATATCAATATTTTACTATATGATTTTAATTACCTCTATTAACTTTGAAACATTTTATTATCAATACAGATTTTAAAAATGTTATGTTAATATTACTTGAATTTTTCTAAACTACGTTTTAAATATAACTGCATAGTTAGAATAATTTAATACAATTATTGCAAAAATAGATGATGATGATGATTTATTACAACGATTAAACAAACTTTTGTACTTTTTTCAACTTTCACAAAGATCAATATTAGTTGCAACGCATTGCAATAACAAATCTATTCGATTTTTGTTATATTAATTAATTCAGATATAATGGTATTAATAAAATTAATATTTCCACACCAAATTTTTTATTTGAAACTAGATTAATTCCTATTAAAAATCAATTTGAATAATTATATATTAAGTTCAAGTTTTGAGTGGTGTTTTATTATATCTTGAATTAATTTCAAATATAAAATTTATCAAAAATAAATCCCGATCTCAGAGTTTTGATTTAAAGTTAAACTTTAAATTCAATACAAATGAAAATTATTTTGTACACCTATCATTGAGAAATAAGAATTTTTATTTTAATTTTTTAAATAATGTCTTTGACGTTATTTACTTTATTACAAAATGATCTTTATCATATTGATATATTGCATTATATATGACAAGGCAAATCCGAAACTTTTTAATTTCTAATTGAAGTTATCAATAAACTAGAATTCTAACTTAGTAAAAACCAATCAAATTCTTGCAAATTTTGTTAAAAAATAAAATTTAAAATTTTTTGAAGATTTTGTAAATCATTATCCGTCATTATACCATTTTTATTCTTATAAATTAATAATTAATTTTTGGAACCTAGTTCATGACTTCATAACTCTATTTGAATTGGAAATTTTCAACAATTCATTTGGAAAACATCTCCGTAAGATATTTCTATTTTAATTTTGCTCATTTAAAATTAATAATAATATTTTAGAAATAATTCATGCTTCTGACAATGAAAAACAGTAGACTTGTATGTACCTTTGTAAAAATTTCAAATACTTTTTGTATATATAATTATCCATATCTTATTGGGATAAATGTGTGCGTTTGATTTTTATTATTAACAATTTAAACTAAAATGATTAATTTTGCAATAGCTCTGTAAATTATTATTAACCTTGAGAATACAAAATAAATAAAGTGCTCTTATATATATTTGCCTAAATCGGATTTTAAATAAAATAATTATTGTATTGAATAAATACAAATATTTTAATTAAATAATGAACAGATTTTTAGATGCACACTGATTAATTATCTGTAATTAAATTAATATTGTTTGAACGCATATATAAAACCGAAGTTCTTAGCGCGGCTTATTTCATTATATTTTTAAATTTAAACCGGAATATTCGCAAAAAATGATTAACTTTAAAACACTTATATTTTGGCTTTATGCACCACGATATTGGCTTTACGTAAGTTAACAATTGATCGATTTAATTTTTTGCAAAAAAATATAAAATGTGTTTATGTAAGATTGAATTATTTTCCGAACATATATAATAATTACAAAATAAGAAAAATAGTTTCTAGTTCAGTAATATTTAAAATAAAATTAAAGTTCAAATTTATAATAGATCTTCATATATTTTATATTTATTATTTGCTTCATTATTAAGTTGATAAAAATGGTTTTTGATTTTGAATATCAATCCCTTAATTTATTGTTGCAGCTGTTCTTGATGACATTGATAATGATGTTGTCACTGTAACTACTTACGAATATTCTGTACATGAAAGTTATGAAATTGACGATGGTGGTCATGAAGTAGTATCTGAAAGCAGTGCACACGAAAGCCATGATATCATTTCAAGTGGTCAAAGTGGCGGAAGTCATGATCATTTAAGCCACAGTCATGAAAGTCTTGGTCAGGAAAGCCACAGTCATAGTAGTCACGAACATGGAAGCCAAGAAGTTGATGTTGGCGGTCACGGAAATAATGGCCATCATCATGGAAGTCACGAGCATGGAAGCCATGAAGTCAACGGTGGCGGTCACGGAAATAATGGACATGGTCATGGAAGCCACGAAGTGAACGGTGGCGGTCACGGAAATAATGGTCATGGTCATGGAAGTCACGAACATGGAAGCCATGAAGTCAACGGTGGCGGTCACGGAAATAATGGACATGGTCATGGAAGCCACGAAGTGAACGGTGGCGGTCACGGAAATAATGGTCATGGTCATGGAAGTCACGAACATGGAAGCCATGAAGTCAACGGTGGCGGTCACGGAAATAATGGACATGGTCATGTAAGCCACGAAGTGAACGGTGGCGGTCACGGAAATAATGGTCATGGTCATGGAAGCTACAAACATGGGAGCCATGAAGTGAATGGTGGCGGTCACGGAAATAATGGTCATGGTCATGGAAGCCACGAAGTGAACGGTAGCGTCACGGAAATAACGGTCATGGTCATGGAAGCCACGAACATGGAAGCCACGAAGTGAATGGCGGCGGTCACGGAAATAATGGTCATGGACATGGAAGTCACGAACATGGAAGCCATGAAGTCAATGGTGGCGGTCACGGAAATAATGGTCATGGTCATGGAAGTCACAAACATGGAAGCCATGAAGTGAACGGTGGCGGTCACGGAAATAATGGTCATGGTCATGGAAGTCACGAACATGGAAGCCACGAAGTGAATGGCGGCGGTCACGGAAATAATGGTCATGGACATGGAAGTCACGAACATGGAAGCCATGAAGTCAATGGTGGCGGTCACGGAATTAATGGTCATGGTCATGGAAGTCACGAACATGGAAGCCACGAAGTGAATGGCGGCGGTCACGGAAATAATGGTCATGGACATGGAAGTCACGAACATGGAAGCCATGAAGTCAATGGTGGCGGTCACGGAAATAATGGTCATGGTCATGGAAGTCACGAACATGGAAGCCACGAAGTGAATGGCGGCGGTCACGGAAATAATGGTCATGGACATGGAAGTCACGAACATGGAAGCCACGAAGTGAATGGCGGCGGTCACGGAAATAATGGTCATGGACATGGAAGTCACGAACATGGAAGCCATGAAGTGAACAGGGCGGTCACGGAAATAGTGGTCATGGTCATGGAAGTCACGAACATGGAAGCCATGAAGTGAATATTGGCGGTCACGAAAATAATGGTCATGGTCATGGAAGTCATGAACATGGAAGCCATGAAGTCAATGGTGGCGGTCACGGAAATAACGGTCATGAACATGGAAGTCACGAACATGGAAGCCACGAAGTGAATGGCGGCGGTCACGGAAATAATGGTCATGGACATGGAAGTCACGAACATGGAAGCCACGAAGTGAATATTGGCGGTCACGGGGATAATGGTCATGGTCATGGAAGTCACGAACATGGAAGCCATGAAGTGAGCGTGACGGTCACGGAAATAATGGTCATGGTCATGGAAGTCACGGACATGGAAGCCATGAAGTGAACGGTGGCGGTCACGGAAATAATGGTCATGGTCATGGAAGTCACGGACATGGAAGCCATAAAGTGAACGGTGGCGGTCACGGAAATAATGGTCATGGTCATGGAAGTCACGAACATGGAAGCCATGAAGTCAACGGTGGCAATCACGGAAATAATGGTCATGGTCATGAAAGCCACGAACATGGAAGCCATGAAGTAAACGTTGGCGGTCACGGAAATAATGGCCATGGGCATGGAAGTCACGAACATGAAACCTTGAAGTCAATAGCGGCGGTCACGGAAATAATGGTCATAGCCATGGAAGTCACAAACATGGAAGCCACGAAGTTGACACAAACGACGTCACTACTATTGAAATAAACGACTGTGATCAAACTGTAGTCAAAACTGAACATGAACACAATAGTTATGAATTAGATGTTCAAGAACACGACAACAAGAATGTGAACATACATATGAATGATAATAATCAGAAAAATATGCATGTCACTGATAGTGACATCTCAAGTGTAGATATTCACAAAACTGCTAGTGAAGGAAAAGAAAGCTCAAATGTTTATGAAAGCGACAGTTCCAGTTTAAATGTTCATGAAAGCGAAAGCTCAAGTGTTCAGCAAAGTGACAGTTCCACTCTAGGTGTACGGATAAGCGATAGCTCGAATGTTTACGAAAGTGAAAGCTCAAGTTCAGATGTTCAGGAAAACGAAAAATCAGTCTACGAAAGTGATAGCTCTAGATTATATGCTAAGGAAGACGAAAGCTCAAATGTTCACGAAAGTGATAGCTCCAGCATAGATGTTCAAGACACCGTAAGCTCTAATATTCACGAAAATGAAAGTTCTAGTTTAAATATTGAAGACAGCGAAAGTTTAGTTCAAGAGAGCGATAGCTCCAATTTAGGTGTTCCGAAAAGCGAGAGCTCAAATGTTCACAAGAGTGAGAGCTCTAGTTTAAATATTCAGGAAAGCGAAGGGTCACCTATTCATGAAAGTGATAGTTCTAGTTCAGATATTCAGGAAAGCTCTAATGTCCACGAAAGTGAAAGCTCCAGTTTAAATGTTCAGGAGCACGAAAGCTCTAGCTCAAATGTTTATAAAAGTGAGAGCTCCAGTTCAACTGTTCACAAAAGTGAAAGCTCAAGTTCGAATATTTATGAACATTCAAGTTATGACAAATCTAGTTACGATCATTCTAGCTATGATCATGAAAGTTATGAAGTAGATTTTGATGACTTAGACTCAGACATCAGTACAGAAACTGTCGGACTTAAATTATAATCTTAAGAAATATATTTTTCATGATTTCATTATTATATCTGCCACACAGTGTATTAATTTTTTATTTGAAAATAATCAAAAAAATAAAATTAATCATTGAAATAATTATAGGCCATGCATGATGTATAAAATAGTCTCACTGCCATTCGAATTCATTTGGATAATATGAATAAAAAAATCAAACCAGACTATGAAATTATATTATTTGTATTACTTTTGTATTTATTTTATCTGTAAAAAATTATTGGATTCTTAATTTAGAAGTATTGCATAAAATACCTTAATGAGGAACATAAAAATTATATCATTGATTTGATTTTATTGATATAATAATATACATAATAACAAATATAAGAGTTTAAATTAATATTTATTAGTGATATAAAAATATAAATAATATAGTAGTTTTAAAATAAGTTTTATCACAAATATAACAATACTTTTATTTCTTAAAATTCATTTAATATATTCAATTTTGGAATTATATATATTTTTTTTCAATTACATTTGCTTTATTGATTTTTCAAATTATAATTTACTATGTGAATTTCAACTTTTTGAAAAAGAATTTTATTTTTTCCGGAAAATCTGATTTGCTTAATATCTTTGCTAGATATTTGAAGTAATTTGAATCGTTCGATACTAATATTAGAAAAAATATGTGTAAATAAATAAATAAATAAATAAAAATAAATAAATATGTTTGTGAACCAAAATATTCGTCGACATTTTGCTGTAAATCGACTTTACCGATTTTAGAAATGTAAAGACTATTTGGTAAAACTTAATAAAAACTTGCGATGCTTAGTTTTGCAAAATTGAAGAATTATTTTTTTTATGAAATTAAGAGAATCGTATAACATTGTTCATTACAATTTTTTGCAAAAAATCTTGAGTGTATTTGAATAATTTAAATATCTTTTGAAAGCTATCCTTTGTGATTAGAATTTAACAAAAGGTGGTTTAACTATTTTTCATTAATAATTTTTATTGAACTATTTTGTTGAAAATTAAAATTAAGATTATACGGTGTTTGGTATTAGCAAACAACCGAAAATATTATAGGCCTACAGAAAGTGGTTTATTCATTAAGTCGATTTTTTATACATATAGGGAAGTTCATACAACTTGACTTTAGTCAAAGTAACGCTTATAGTCAATTTATATTTTTCTCATTAACCTGTCGATGATTATATTATTTCATAATAAATACTGATGATTCGTAATGTGTAAACATTATAACATTTAAATACAGAAAAAGTACTATTCAAATGGTTTTAAAATAATTATTTATCCATCTATTAAAATTTAAAAAATATTACTAAGGAAACATAAAATAATTTAATTGATTTTACAGATTGTTCTGAAGGTATCTGAACTATGATTTAATAATTATTGTTATACAAATTATATATATGTGCCAAAAATGAATTATTTTTATTACAAGTGTTAAAAAAATATGTGCTTGTTACCTTAAAGTTGAATGTCCATAAAATAATTATTACTTGATAAAAACTGTGAAATAACTACAATTTTCTTACAAGTCAAGTATCTCAATACAAGTTTCAAAACCCGGATTTACAATTTTATAATAACTATTCATTTTATTTATAAAGGTATAAAGTTTGTTGTACATTACATTTTGAATTATCTGTTTTCATTATTTTATTTCTGCAAAAGTGGTCAATGATCAAATAGAAAGAAATGAATAAATATTAGCGTCTAAAACAGCAACTGCAGTTTGCAGATATTTAAATAGAAGAAATGCTTGTTTTCGTAACAAATACCATATTTTTCCAAGCTTTGCAAATAAATAACTTACAATATAAAAGGAAAACCGACGAGTGATCTATCATATTCTGTTGTTCAGTTTTACGGCAAATAGAAAAACAGGAAAATGAACAGTTTCAAATTGTGTGTTTTTTGGCACTTTGTGTCACAGCTTTGGCAAGACGTAAGTAGAATGAAATTACAACATTTTTTGTATATTTTGTATTATTTTAATTCTAATTTTAGCCGGAAATTTCGGTATGCCAATGCCTGAACCACCATGTATGCCAGAAATGCCAGAAATACCAGAACTGCCAGAACCACGTCTTCCTGAAATGCCAGAACTCCCAGAACCATGTCTACCTGAAATGCCTGAGCTTCCTGAACTTCCAGAACCATGCATGCCAGAAATTCCAGAACTTCCTGAACCATGTCTACCAGAAGTCCCAGAACTTCCTGAACCATGCATGCCAGAAGTCCCAGAACTTCCCGAACCATGTCTTCCTGAAGTCCCAGAACTTCCTGAACCATGTCTACCTGAAGTTCCAGAAGTTCCTGAACTTCCATGTCCTCCAGAAGTTCCTGAATTACCTGAGCCATGTGTACCAGAAGTTCCAGAATTACCTGAACCATGTGTACCAGAAGTTCCAGAATTACCTGAGCCATGTGTACCAGAAGTCCCAGAAGTTCCAGAAATCCCATGCCCAGAGCCTGTTCCAGAATTGCCTTGTCCTTAAATTTCCGCAATGGAATTACTACTAGACTTAGGAATTATTAATATAAAATGTAAAAATATTAAAAATATGAAACTAATAGGGGTACAAAAGGGAGAGCTGGTAATGACATTTTTTTTCTTACTGAATTGTTGTAAATATGATTTTAACAGAAATATATAACGAACTAAATAAAAATTTGTTGTTAATTATTTTAGGATAAATCCAGGTCATTTAAATATAATTAAAATATTAGGATGTGTGTCTTCCTATAATAATAATAATAAGTGATATAATTTATATCATCAAATAATTTATTGTGAATTTATTATAGATTTGTTGGCTACAATTTCGCCTCATAAACTAATTCAAAGATTTTTTAAATCGGTGAACAAAAATATTTTTAATTAATTACACTTTATGATTTATATATGATTATATACCAATTATTTTATTTTTTAGCTTTTGATGATAAATTTTTTTGAAGAAAATGCTTTAATGTAGATGGGTTCAACTCAGTAATAGCTCTTGTATTTTAGAGTATTTACTAGTATTTTTAAAAGATTAAAAATGTATCAAATTTAATGAAATTTCTTTGGGTTTAATAAAAATATTCTTAGTTTTATGATTGAAGTAGATATACTTCTACGAGTGTGGACAAATTCCATAACAGTTTTCATAATTCAGATCAAACCACTTGATAATATTTTTATATCGCATAAACTTATTTTTATAAGGGTTAATTTTTATATAAGATGTTGATTTTGTAAAAAAATAGAGTGACTTAAAGATTGTTCTCGTATCAACTTTTTTATTGAAATTATAAAATCTAAAAAAGGTCCTGACTGGAATGACCTAGAAGTGGCAATTATTAAGGCAATTTAAATAATTTTTTTTTATAAATAAAGTATTTTTATATTTCAATAATTATTCGATTATTAATTAATTATTTTATTTAATTATATTTATTGATGAGCAGTGTTGTGATTATGCCCGTAGAACTACCAATTTTGGCATTAAATAATATTAAATATATTATTTAATAATATTAAACATATTATTTATCATTGTAAAATTGATATATTAAGACTTCCACTGTGTGGGTTTGTTTATGAGTTTTGTTTACAAAAATTTGAGAACAATTTCTGGAATATTTCACTTTCAAACCATACCAGAACCTACATTAAATTAGATGAAAAAATTATATTGTACATATATAAATTGATAAAAAAATTAATATTTTTGCAATAGTGTATTTTTTATATTTGTTGGAATATTTTATTGACATAACTATATATGATACATCTTTACTATTTGTAGCCTCATAAATTATGATAAAATACGTAAATCGGCTTACAAATACGTACTGAAGAAATATTGTGTTTATTTTAAAAAATCTGTTTAAAAAGGAGGATAGAAAACAAAAGTGTTTATTCCACAAATATAAAGTTTTTATATCGTTTCAAATACAAGTCTAATATAAATGCCTTTAGCGATACTGGCAGGAGCTAGAACAAAAAATTGAGGATGATTGATTTTAAATATGTGTTTGTTATTTTGTTAATAATTTGTACAAAAACTGTTGTAGGTAAGTACAATGATATAAAATATTCTCTGTTAAAAAAATTGTCATACAGTTTAGTATAATGAGGATCAAATAATTTGCTAAATAACTCAATTATAAATTTCTATTTCAAATTATTTACATTAGATATAATCAATGTCAAAGAAATTGTGGAAATAGTCATCCAAATCTTCAATTTTGCACAGACTTTAGTTTGTTTTTTAAACTTTGATCAATAGCTAATTTCAAAGTAACAAATTACTTGATCCCAGACTTCACTATTTTTTATAAATTTTAATAAACTAAAAAAATTCCATTACCTAGGTGTACAAGGTCCTTACCAGCCTGCTCCTCATCAGCCTCCTCCAAAATGTTTGGGTGAACACGAAACTTATGTGGATTCACCACAAATTGATGTTTATTGTGAACAAGAAACTGTCAAAGGATGGAAAGTACCAGATGATGCTGAACCAAGTCATTGTGTTTGTGTCACAGGATTTAGTAGGACTTGTTATCCTAAAGGACCTTGCATTACTCATATTGAATGTTGGGACGCCAAACAGAAAACTGTTTATGATTGATTCGAAGAAAATGTCAAATTTGTAAGAAAAATTTGGTTTTTGTATGGAGAAAAATGTTAGATGAATAAAATTTAAATGTTATAGAAGCTGTTATTTTTATTGGAATGGTTGAGAACAATAATTACTTATATTTGTTACTGAATTTGAATTTATGTGGGCTTTTGGTTTTATGCAATTCTATGTTTGAGTGTTATGAAAATAACTGAAATTCATGATTTTTAAGAAAATTTTTATAACTCCTGAAATGCATGAATTAATATAGTAAGGATTGAAGACAAACTAAAAATTATTTAATAAAATTACAAAGTTCTAAAAATGTCCTGGCTTATTAGTTGAATAAATAGAAATGATTTATGCAATCTGAAATATATTTTTTAAATAAAATTTCTTTATCATTTAATAATTATTTGAACGTTGATTATTATGATTCTTTTCTTTTTTTAAATTATTGATGCGCAGTGATATTATTATGCCCGTAGAACTACTAATTTTGGCATCAAATAATATTAAGCATATTATTTATCTTTATGATTACTAAAACAGTTTATTCAAAAATTGATATGTTTTAGCAATAACTATTATCATACTGCAAAAGTAATACAAATCTCCAGGAATAAATTTCATCTTTCCTTTTTCAAAGATAAATGAAATTATATTACTGATAAAAAATCAAATATTCGTATCTAATATTTTTTCATTTTGATTTATGAGATCCTGACTTAGGTTGAAATGTAATTAAATTTTTGATGAAGATTTCAATAAAACATTTAAGAAATATTAACTAATAGTGAGTATTGTAAGTCTATACTATATTCTATATTAAAAATTTTTAGCTTTTTTAGATATATTATAATTTTTCAAAAATATGCCTGTTATTCAAATTCACCAAAAATGTGATTATTCATTCAATTTTTTTGTAATTTATAAATGGCTTAATTTGCTTTAACAAAAATTAAATCAATTTTGCATGTTGTCTTATTTTATTCAAAATTACTAGTTATAAAATATCTAAAACTATTATTTATTGTTTTGTAATGATTAGTACATTGTTCTGGATCTTAGGAAAGAACGCGTAGTTAAATATACATTAAATTTGAAATTTAGTTTTGATAGTAATTAATTTAAAAATATAATACGCATAAATTAATAAAAAAACGTTAGTATTAAAATTATTTACTCAATTGAACGTCACTTTTTTCTCTCTCAAAAGGTTTACACAGATTTATTTATTTTTAAACTGAGAAAAACAACAATTTTCTTTTGTTAACACAAGTGTTATATTTATTTAAAAAAAAGATGATATAAAAATTTATTTTTATTTCACCATACATATGAGTAAAGTAATGTCGTCATATAAAAATTAAATTAAACATGGTTTATATGTGTGAACTAATTTTATTTGTTGCTAGTACATTTTGGTTCCAAGTCAAAAGTGCAACAAAAAATGCAGTTTTTGGTTGTTCTTTTATTTATTTAATTTCTGGAGCCGCAAATGCTTCTGGTAAGAGAAAAAAATAATGATTAATTTTTTTTATTTAATTAAATTAAGTTCTTATATTTTGATAAAATATTTTATCATACTTCTTTAAGGGTAATTTATATAATTTTTAGAAAGAATAATTATCTACTGAATATTGCATTGCATCCTGGTCTTTAACAAAATTAAATTGAATGGAAATCAATTATCATTAAAAATAAGTAGTATAAAGATACGTATAAAATTTAATCAAATGTGATGTAAATAATATAAATTTTAATTAGTTAAAAGTCTTAAAATTAAATAAAGTAATTGTTCACTAAATTTTCTTTAAGTAATCTCACCTCTTTGACTTAATTTTTTCGATGACGTAGGTAAAAGTTTTTTCAATAAAATTTTGTTCTCTGCTACTTTATATATATATATATATATATATATATATATATATATTATATCAAAAATTTATTACTTTTAGAACAATTCTACGCCGCCCCCACTACCCCACAAAAGATTTGTTCCAACCCCCATATGTTCAGGAAATCACGAAGTATACGTCGAAGAACCAATTGTCGATACTTATTGCGATAATTTATGTCGAGAAAATTGGGCACCACCTGAATGCGCCCCTGTACACACTGTGTATGTGCCAGTGGCTACGGAAGGGAATACTACCCTGACGGGCCCTGTATAGCAGGGTTTTTATGTTTGAGTGATGAATCAAATTATCATAAGAGGAAATATACATAGAAACTTTCGAGATCCGAAATTGAATGAAAAATATGTATTTATTATTTGTAAATAAATTATATTTTATTGCAAGTTTTTGATACAATTGTCTATAAATATCAAAAATAACACTAAGTGATACTTATGTAAGAAACATATAAGGAAGCATGTTCATATATAAATTTTGATTTAATTTTTCCAATTTGAGTCTCAAACGATTAGGAATGACTTGCAACGTTGTGATATATAAAAATATTGTCAAATATTAAAACATTCTAAAAATAAAAAAATTGACTATAAAACGACGTGAGATAGATCACAATTTTTGTTTGCTCATCAAAGATGAAGAATATATATTTCTATAAATTTGCATTTTTTCTTATTTATAATGTTTTTATTTTGTACATATCTAAGGTTCTAATTGTTTTAGTATATATATATATATATATATATATATATATATATCTTTTTTAAAATTATTTATTTAAATCAAATTTCACAAACCTGTTTAACACTTTGGCTAGTGACGCCATGACTTTATGCAAAAGTTAAAGGCAATAAAATTAATTTTTGTTTTTTATCTGGTTAGTGTAAAATAAAGATTCGTTCAACTTTACCATATCTCACATCGTGGATATGGCGAAAGAATGTTAAGAATAACATCAGGGATGATGAAAATATCAGAGATATCGAAATAATTTTTTTTGCAAATTTTGAAGAAATTGCGTATATATAGGTACTTAATAAGCCATGCTTGGTCAGTGATGGTAGGTCTGTGTTAGGCATGTAACATATGACATATGACATTTGATCAATCGGGAGAGTTCCGCAATTGTCGTCGGCAACGTTCGCTCAGACATGTGACGTCACATACTCTTCTATGTTGGAGCATATTTTGCGCTCGACTAGCACTTCATGTAATATAAAGTCTATGTTTTTTACCATCAAAAACACAAGATTGCTTTGAATTCATTTTTTTTTAAAAATAGCTTCAGTT